TTTTGATGAGATAAATTGGATTTTAATTAATTGATTAGCCAACAAAAATATATCAATAGTAAATTTCCAAAGATATATGTGAGAATGTCTCTCAAATATTTCTCATTTCAATCCTTACAGTCTTACAAACTCTTGGTAAATACGGTGGACAAATGCGACAAGGACTTTCAATGTACCTTCAAATACAGGAATATTTACGGTAAAAATGCCCAAGTGGGTAAAGACAATTAAAATATACGAAAAATATTGTCTTAGAGGGCCCCATCTAAACCCTTCTCAGCAACATTTTTAAATATGAAGCTTTTTCTAGTGGAAGGGGTTGATTTTGAATTCACATTGGGCAGTTCGGAATCTTGTTTCAACCAAATTGGCTATATTTTTATATTTTGGATTCTCATTGAGTAGAAGACCTTCATACAAAAAATATTAGCTACCTTCATATTTTGGCACATCACCATTATTCGGTTTTTGGTGGGTAGTGATGCGCTTTTCCACCAAATAGCTGTAATATGGTATAAATGGCTCTTGAATGCTGATTGATTTACATTTTGGTATAGCTCTTTATAACGGTAACGACCCATTTTCGATATTTCGAAAGCTTTTGCCACATTTTCCCACCGAAGTGGCTGTAATTTGGCAAAAAGGGTTATTGAAGGATTTCTTTTTCCCCATCCATATACATAAATTCTAAAACTAGATACATATTAGCGTAGAGCCCCATTATCAGTTTCTAGCCCCATTTTCCCATTGAAGTAGCTGTAATTTGGCATTCCGAGTTATATAAAGGCCATGCCTTATTTTCGGTATTATTATGTTTTCAACCGAATTTTCTCACCAATGCACTATGGGTCAGGAACACAATTTTTTTGACTAAAAACCATTTCAGACAGAGAGGAAACTTCGTTATATATTTCAAATCCGAACATTTTATATCATTTACAAAATTTTTATCGATTTACAAATGACATGAGGTCAAAAACAAAAGGAAAGTAGTAAAGTCGGTCGGGGCGGTCTATTTACCATTTAAAAGCTTCAAGATAAGCTTCCTAACAGACTTCGAATTTTGGATGAAATGAAATTGGACAAAATTATATATGCAATATATGTGAACCGACTTAAATCAATCCATGCCCTTATCTTCAGCAACCTATGCAAAATTCCATTTCATTTAGATTTAGAGCCTTATTTGTAGAATTGGCCAAATTATGTAAATCGATTTAAATCAAACTATTCATTATGCTGCAGCACAATTGAACATCAGTTCACAATTAACATGAAGTCAGTCCAAAATATTAGGATGGGAAAAATAAATCCATTATTTTTCCGGCAGATGGCTGTACTGATAGATTTCTCGTAAAGTATCGATCAATCAATTTCAGATTTATGCTTGTTGGAAGGGTGACATTTCGCAATAAAACAATTATTTTGCTGTTTATTTTTTGTTTGGTGCATTCAGTTGTGAGTTATAGGGTGTTAAAAATGGAAGTGAACAATGAGAAAATTCGGTACATTTTACAGATTATACCCTTCACCACATTGTGGTACAGGGTATTATTTTCTTTGACAAAGGCGAAAATGCAAGCCAAGCGGCTAAAATGGATCTTTGTTGTTTATGGTTCCTATACTGTAACAGCCAATTATGTGCAATTTTAATTTCGTAGATCAGGATTTTTTTATGTTAAAGATGCACCTGGTACAGGTAGGCCGGAAATGTCGAAGTTGACCGGCATGTTATCTGTCACATGTTAGCATCTGAACCATTTTCACCACAACCTGACACACGTTAGACTATACTAACTTCAGTACGATGAACAAAATGTTGTGCCAATCTGCCTAACTTTGCACAATTTACTTAAAATCGGACGAATATATATGTATATGGGAGTTATATCTAAATCGCCATCGATTCCATACAAACGTATCAGACGTTTTTCTAGACCCATTTCGATACGTTGTTTTTTCCGGCTTGTGTGATCCTTTTAACATCCTGCTGGAAAAGGTCATACGAGACGCAAAGGTGAACAGAAATGACACTCTGTACACCAAACAACACATGTTACTCGCCTACGCCGATGGCATCGATATAATGGGTCGAACATTGCGAGCGGTAACAGCCACCTTTGAACAAATTGAAAATTAGTCCAAAATGGGTCTGACATAAACGGCGAGAAGACCAAGCTGATGGTATCAACGCGCAAGACGTTCAGTAGACTCGGACCAACTGTGGAACATGAGAACTACAGCTTTGAGGTAGTTAAAGACTTTATTTTATATTTTGAAATTCGGAGGAGGATTGTGATGGCCAACAGATGGTACTATGGTCTAAGTAAGCAGTTTGGAAACAAGGCCACCTACCGCCAAACCAAACTCACACTTTACAAGACGCTGATACTACCCGTGCCATCATATGAATCAGAAGCATGGGTACTTGCGCAAGCAGATGAGGCAGCTCTTGGGGTGTTTGAAAGAAAAATTCTCCGAAAAATCTACGTCGAAGGAAAATATTAGCGTCGAATGAACCACAATTTATACAATTTATGCGCGGACATCGACATAGTCAGTCGTATTGGGCTGCAGCGACTACGGTGGCTAGGCCATGTTGTGCGGATGAATGAAAATGCCCCAGCTCAAGAGGCATATAAAAACGAGCCTACTGATGGTTCCCGTAGAAAGGGATGGCCACGAATTAGATGGAAATACCAAGTAGAAAGCAACATCTTGTAACGTGGTCTTCCAAATTGGTGAACTTGCTCACAAGACCGACGCGCTTGGAAATCTTTTTTAAGCTCGGCTTATGGAACAACCGTTCTGTAACAATCCAGCTAAGTTAGTAAGTATTTCGATACGTTGTGCATAATGTTGTGTTAATCGGACTCACATTAACTCTTTGGTGCATTTAAAATTGGTTAAAAAAATATATTGGAGCTATATATCTGAATCTGAAACTGAAATTTTTGGCTACTCAGTCTTTAATTTGACTTCTTGGTGCACCATTTACTAAAAATCGGACGAATATATACATGGGAGCTATATCTCGACAGACATACGGACAGACGGACATGCATAATTTGACCCAGAAAGTGATTCTATGAATATTCTCAAAACCAAATGTGTTGTAATTTGGTATTCTGGGTTATTATTACTACCCAATAAACTTACTACCAAAAATGATAAATTTTGGTCCACTTTTTAGGCTAGCCCCCATATTACAGGACCACTAAATTTCAATATTTTGTGCGATTTATTCAAACTAATTGATTGTAACTGAGTATTTAAAATGGTATTGGGCAGGAACCCTTCCTATTAAAAACTATCAATATTGGCTTAATTTTCGGTCGCTTAATTTTAGGCCCCATTTAAACGGACTCTCCATTATTCGGTATTTTTATCAAGTTTTCCAACTAACTATTTTCGATCCAGCCTATTGGATTTGTACTTTTTTCTTGCTGAATCGTAACTGCTCTGGCTATAATTTGGCATATCGGATTCCTGGTGAATAAAAACTTCTTTGCAGAAATTATTCAATTTAGGATTGTATTTTAAATAAAGCTCACATACAAATGTCTTGATTGATTTACTAAATCATGATGTTTCTACCCCAGTTTACTAATGTGCCGCATATGTTTCGAAATTTTCCCAGACTCAGGAATTTGCTTTGAAAAATGTCAAGTTCCTAACAATTTCGTTATATAAAGACACCTACCGGTCGGGGTGGTAAATAACATTAAATTGTATAAGTAAATTTTTAGGCTTGTGCAATGTCGTTCCTGAGGTAGATCCATTTTTTTAATCGTTTCCTTCATTTAGTTCCATTTTTACATTTAGTTCAATCGATCATTGGTACGTCTTTCGGTCGTTCTTCTTGTTATTTGTTAAGAACTGGATCAAAATGTACTATCTGAAAGAAAGTGCCGAATATACCGCTAGTTCACTCCGAAATTATATACTTTTAAAATTTTGTTTTAAATTGTCAAAACTGATAGGAATTGGTATAGGCTATACCAATTAGTAGGCCGATATATCCTGTTAGGAATACTAAGTACCCTTGAAATAATATAAATGTTTGTGCAATATTTCGATCCTCTTTAATACTCATTATTTCGGTCTCGAATTTATAAAATTATAAAAAGTTATACACATTTTTAATCCAATCCAAAATATTAGCAACTTCCAAATTCATAAATTTGAATCCTTTAATTTTCTCATCAAAATTTTTCTTTTTTGATATTATAAAAAAATATAAAAATATTAAAAAGTGTATATACAACATAACATAAAAAACTAGACAAAATACATAAGACAAATGATGTATAAAAAACGTTTTGATTGAGCAAATATTTAAAGCTTTGAGTTTTAAAAATTGGATATATAAAATTAAAAATAAAAATTTCATTTTAAAATTTGGCTTTAGCATTTGTTTTTAATAAAATATATAATTTTAAAATACATATTTATATACGTTTATTTTTTATTAATTTCAATATAAGACAACAATATAATAACAATTATATGTTTTTTGTTGTAGTTAAATAAAGGACATGATTTATGAGGTTTACGTTTTGTTGTTGTAGTAAATAGGATTATTTAAATATAATAAATATACGTAGATATATAATTTAATATTTTATTTTGTTAAATAAAGGTTGTTTTGTTATTATTATCCGTTTAGTTTAAAACTAGGTACTTTTCGAAATGTTTAAAGGAGGTGTTTGTTTTTTTTTCAGTTTTTATTTGTAAAAAGTGTTCTGACGAGATAGGCTGGTTAAATTTGGCCATTTTGGTTTTTAGCAGGCTTTTGTTTAGTAACATAAAAATTATAATTAAAAAATCAATTTTTTTGTTTGTTTTTGAATTGTGTGTAGGGCTGTTTTTTGGGTTTGGGTGGGTGTGTGGCTTTGAGCTTTAATTTTTAAAATTGTAAGACTTATTTTTTGTTTGGTTTCATTTGGCTTTTGCTATGGCATCTATTTAAAAAGCGAACGAAATACTTCGGTACACACACAATCTTTGGTACAGAGACCGAATTCAAGATGTATTGTCGCTATTAAGCGGCCTTGTGAGCTCTATTTCATTGTTATGTGTTTGTTTTTTATTGTTGGTAGATTGTTTTTTTTTTAAATATTTTTAATCGTGTGTTTTTTTTTTTGGAAAAAAAGAATGGGAAGAAAAAAGAAAGAAAAATTAAGAATAACATTGGTATGTCATCATAGTAAATTATTTCACTTCTAATTAATTTATTTATTAGAGAAAGATAGGTAGATATAGAGAGGACACAATAATATTAGAATTAGAAATCGTTTGGAAATTTATTCTGAGAATTTTAGTTCGAATTTTGGGGGAGTAGAAATTCATTTTCTTAATTTTTTTGGATAAAAAAATAAATACAATTATAAAGAAAAACAACATATGGAGAAAAGAAATAAATAATATAAACAAATAAAAACCATATAACGTAGACATAATAAATTGTAGATGCCAATTATAATTGATTAATTAAATTTTGAAATTTGTTGTAAATCATACAATTATGGATATTAATTTAAGGTATCCGATATGTTTTACCCTAGACAGACGACCGACATAACTAGCATTAAAACTTCTGCATATATATTGTCATATTGAAATTGCAAAATTCAGTTTGAATGGGGATAATGCATAGAGCATTGCCACTATTTCTACGATGTTTGGAATTGATACATAAGTTGGCGTTTTGTTTCAACCGAATTGTCACTAATTTGATATTTTCGATTGTTATAGGGCGGTAAATCCGTTATCAACATCAGTCCATCTTTAGATATAGCCTCTATATAAAGGTCCTGTCATAGAAAACAAACAAATTAGGTTCAAACCCTCGCCAGCCGGTTTAATGCATAGGATAGCCACTCGATGAGAAGTATCCACCACCGCTGAACGTAATGTTAGATGGAGAACATATTCGACCTTTAATCCGGCACAACCGAATGTTGTCGATGGAATACCTGCTTGAAGAACAATGCCTTATGAATGCTACACTCGAAGACCATCCATATCTGCAGAGGAGAAGCAACGGGCTAGATACGAGTAGTCTTAGCACAGAAAATATCAGGATGGTGTTACCGCTTCAATTCCTACTGGACAAGAATTAACGACCTGATAGCACATGTCTACCATGTGAACTAGGACCACAACACGACACGTGTCATATTTTCAACTTTCCTCCTAAGCCTAATCACTTGTCCTACAATTTCCTATGGACGCGGTCTATATATGTTTCAGTCGCCCTAAATTTGAATCCGAAAATTACCGAATTTAAATTTTTAATTTTTATACCCTACACAACTATGTTGTCAGGGTATTATAGCTTTGTGCAGCTCCAAATGTTTGTAACGCCGCGAAATATTGGTCCTAGACCCACCTTCAAGTATACCGATCGTCATATCTCGACTAGCTGAGTCGATCTAGACATGTGTGTCCGTCCGTCCGTCTGTCCATTATAATTTGTAAACACGATACAGGCCACAGTTATGGATCAATCTTCACGAAATTTTGCATGTAGGATGGGTTCTGGCCAATGAAGACCCCTATTGTTTTTGGAAAAGATCGGTTAATATTTAGGGGATGAAATGGACCAAAAACATTATTTTTGTCGGTTTTTCTGATCGCTCCAGAGGCCGCAATTATGGCCCAAACACCGCGAATTTTTGCATGGAGAAGGGGATCGGGCCAATATTTAGTGGGTCAAATGGACCCTGACTTTTGTGTGAAAAATGACAAAATTTGTATTCTATGGCATATATATTTACTCGAGGAGTTGATAGCATATCCAAGAGGAGTGGTTGGCCTTTAAATTGATACCAAATATAGTGATGTATCTACTCAGATGTGGAAGTTACAGTCAAATATTTACAGGTGCTTACGTATTCAGATATTATTTAGTAACCCATTACCACATTAGAGGAGGAAATATCGCGCTGATGGCTTTGAAATTTTTCATGAAGTTCCAGTTATGGTCAAGAAAAACGCCTACAATTTTCCGTGATGATCAGATTAAAATGTTGGGATGAAATGGACCAAAAACTTAATTTTTTGTGTGTTTTCGAGTCGAGTATAATCCAAAAATCACAACACAATCCACCGTGAAGGTAATCTGGACAAGTAATTAGAAGGACTGTACTGAATATTCGAAAAAAGTAAGTAGGGGTGCTGTTCACCTTTAATCGGACAAGAGGGGGCAAATGTCACGGAATATTACTCAGACTCCTCAGAAAGTTAGAGTTCGTGGTAGTTGTGTAGGGTATCGTATAGTCGGCCCCGTCCGACTATACTGCTCCGCTCACTGGTTTATATTAAATTTGTCATTCCGTTTGCTTCACCTCGAAATATTCACCGGAGACCCCATAAACAGTATAAATTCTTGATCAAAATAAAATTCTATGTCGATTTATGGGTGTCTGTCTGTCTGTCTTTTTCATTCCTACTAGGATTTTTGGTATTGCAAATGAGATATATCGGTGTATTTTTTGGTGTAGCCCTTATATAACGGTACATTCGGTATTTTTGAATTGAAGTTGAACACGTTTTTTAATCGAATAGGTGTAATTTAAAATTTGGGTTCTCATTGTATACTCGACGCACATGTCCGTTCCAAAAATTATTAATATTGACCTATGTTTCAGGGTAGCCCCCACATAACGGTACCTCCCAATACTCTCGGCATTTGGACGATTTACGACACGTGTTTCAATTGGTTTTAATTTTGTTTTTATACTTCCACCATAGTATGGAGGGTATATTAATTTTGTCATTCAGTTTGTAACTCATCGAAATATTAATTTCAGACCCTTTAAAGTATATATATTCTTGATTAAGGAAAAATTCGAAGACGATCTAGCCATGCCCCTCCGTCCGTCTGTTGTAATCACGGTATCTTCTGAAGGAATTGAGATCAATCGCCAACATTATGCATAATCGTGAAATCGAACCTAACGATAATGAAATATATCGGCCAGCATTTAGGTATTTCCCCAATATAAATATACATCCTGAAGAAAAAAATTGAGACACAAAACAAAAATATTGGGTTCGAAATTGACATATGTCGGTCATTAATTAGGCATAGCCCTCATACAATTATAACCCCAAATATTCGCTCATTCCTACACTATAATCTAACTTTGTAATATAAATTGCAGTAATTTGAGTATTGCAAATTCTAACATGCGTTATTAGTATCAGTCCACGCTTTGAGGGTTTCATTGAAATTTGTATTTGGTGTACATAATGGTATGATATAAACCGGTTTGTAGAATTGTCGGTATAGGTTCACTTTTTGGTATGTTCCCTATATATAACACAGCAAAAAAAATATATAACGTAGCAAAAAATTATTAATATTAAAACAAGTTCGCGGGTAGCCCCCATATTCGGTATTTTGGAGATTTTGAACACGTTTTGGCTTCTCATTATATAGCACATTCTTGTACTAAAGCCAAGTTTGAGTGTAGCCCCCATATTTACCTCGAATCTGATATATACCATTTCAAGATAAATTGTTCCAGCAATATAAATATCGCTCGATCTTTGGTAATAGTTCCCAAAGAGAAAATTTCAGCCCCTATATAGATTTCCTAGACGCAATTAAAAACGAAGTGATATAATTTTGCATTACGTAATGGCTGTGTTTTGTCATTCAGGAATCTTGGTGGATAAACAACTTCTTCACAAAACATTCGATGTTTCTACATATTTTCGGTATGTTGCAAGTCCTAGCCTAATTTGGCATAGGCCACATATAAAAGTCCCCATCCAATTTAGGTTTATATTTTGAATGCCCTCCTCTTAGTGGAAGGTATAGAAAGAAAGCAGATATTCCCACGGGAAACATTGCCTCTAGACAGATAATGTTCAATATACATTTGACATTTTAAAATTCCTAACCGTATTTTCCGAACAAATGACCGTAATTTTTAAAATAGAGTTCTCGTAATATAGTTTTGAAAAATAGATTCTGAATTAAAATATATGTGTATTGTATGATTTACAACAAATTAAGATTATTACAATATATTTTTTAATTAATATTTATGTTAACAGCTGTTGCTGTACAAAATCTAAGCTCATACCTAAGTCCATATATTATTAAGTTACAAATTGTTTTCTGAAATTCCAAATTTGTTTAGTATCAAATTATTAAAATTATATTTTTGTGGTTTTCCTAATAAAAGTCTTATTACAATTTCCTAATAAAAAACTAATTACAATTTTTTTTTTATTTTAAAAATTTTTATGTTATGATTTAAGTTGTCAAATGTTTGTATGTTGTGTCATGTTTAATGAGTGTTTGAAATGGTGTAAACGCAGTAGTTTTATTAATATTTTTTTGTTTTAAAAATGTGAACAAATTTGAAATAAAAGAGTATTACAATGTTAGTAATATGTGATTGAAATTTTGTTAAAACTTATTGAATGCTCGAAAAATAAACTATGAAATAGAGTTCAATTATTTTGTTTATATAGTACAGTATAGTACGCTTGTGATTATACATTTTTTATCTTTTTTTTAATTTCAACGATTACCAAAGCATTTTACTGTTTTTTACTGGTTTGTTGTTGGATTTTCAATATTTTTGTGATTAAGGTTTTACTTTTGTTTTAACTTTTGTGTGCCACAGAACATTGAATACGATTGATGTTCTAAGTGCAGTGCTTTTAATACGGAATTTCGATTTCAAATAAAACCAAATTAATTACAATACTAAATGAAAAGTTAAATAAACTGATAATAAGTAATAAATTGATAAATACATAAACAAATAGATATAGATGTATAAGAAATATTTAATATTGTATTGGGTTTAGTAGAAATTGCTTTAAATTTCGTTTGAATTATATATTAAAATCATGCATTCATTTTTTTAGTAAAAGTCTACACACGATTTTTGGCTAATAAGTAATGCTTGTTTCCTGTAAATGTTGCAATTTCATTGTATAAAATAAATTCATGTTTCTATAGGTATAAATATTTCAAATATAAAATAATAACCTGAATTGGGCTGGGTATAGACATTATCTAATACGGAGCAGATCGCTTTGGTCCCAGAAGAAAATTAGGGCGACGTTTGGAACATGCATATGCTCTTATTTAAAGAATCCTTGACAGAATATCGGAAAATTATACCACAAGGGATTTAATTTTAGATAATACTGATTGGTGTATTGAGAAAACACAATATATAAAAATATATTTAAAATCTGAGGTTCAAACGATAAGGAAATTAGTGTTTCACACTAAATAAGAAAAAATACAAAATTTAAAATAAATTCTATATGCATAATTTGCACAGAATTCAAGAATTTACCATTATGCTACATATTGGACCTTTACTCATCCACATTTTTGGTTCAGTAGATTCGATATTGCCCCACCTTTGAATGTGTAGAGTATAAAGGAATCGAGATGTATCCATAGTTACTTCCTATGATATACATATATTCGCCTGCTGCAAATCTTCTGTCAATATAATTTTGTTCGTGTTTCACAGTATAACGTTAGTGGTGGTTTAATCCAGCTCATATCCGGCAGTTAAATATACACTTAAGTCTGTCAAGAAAGGAACATGTTGGAAGAAACTATCACAATCATTCTTGTGATGCTTGAAAATGAAGTTGCCAAAGCATTTATATCGAAGAGTTTTGTTTTTATACCACATGGTTCCTTCTGAGAATATGTATAGAATTACTTTCTGAGTGGATTTATGTGTTTCTGTCAGCCGGTTGATGTAAATTTGGATGAAATTTGGAAGAGGATGAAATCTATTGAAATTGATGAAAATCGATTCAGATTTTCATATAGCTCCAATATATATTTACATCCGGTTTTATGTGGATAGAATGGCTTGTGCTAAGTTTCGTTGAAATCGCTTCAGATTTAGATATAGCTCTCATATATATTTTCGTCGGATTTTTCGTAGCCCCTATATTTCTTTCGATTTACAAGAAATTTTCCATAGCGTATTGATTTGAATGTAGAATGGTTTGTGCTAACATTTGTTAAAATCGGTTGCGATTTATGGTACACCTAAGCCCCTATCTTTTTTCTATTTGCACGAAATTGTGCATATCGTACTGAAGTGAGTCTAGAATGATTTGTGCTTAGTTTCGTTGACATGCGTTCAGATGTAGATATAAGTGCAATATATATGTTTGTCGCCTAATCAGCTCAAGCATCATTGACAAGAGGTCATTTCCTCTGAGACTATCCTCTTATACCCCTTGACTGTCCGCGGCGGGTTTTTTAATCCGCAGTTACCCAATATATCTTTTGGACTGTGGAGGGGTCCAATACCATTCAGCTATCCTTCTCACAGACACAAAAAAATTCTGACAACACTTCGCTGCTTCTAGGATGTTTTGACTCGGTATTTTGATGTTTTTCAGCCGCGGAAGTGGCTGTAATAAAGGGTGTTATGTGAAGATTTCGACGACTTTCGATATAGTTCCATGTTCTGATATATCCCCCATATAACGGTACCGCAACATTTGTGTTTTTTACAGATTTGATCCGTAATTTCCCATCAAAATTATATAATATTGCCCCCATATAAGGGTCCGGCCTAATTTTCGATATTTGGAAGGTGCTAGAGGAATTTTGCCACCGAAGTGACTGTAATTTGATATTCCGATTTCGTGAATGGAGAAAATCATCTTTGCAGAAAATTGTCGAAATAGATCCAAGTTTTTACAGATCCTGGTATTCAATAGGTTTTAGGTAGCCACCGAAGTGGCTGCAGTTTTGTATTTACAGAAAATTGTCCTTATAAGTCCATGTGCAATACATAGTCTCATGAATTTGTTGCTTGTTTTAGATTTCGTCAAAAATTGATATACGTCATTCTAGGCTTAATTTGAAACGCCACGCAAAATAGGACTTTTGTACCAGGACTTTGGTGAACTATTGACCAAAAAATTAGTTTTGCTTAATTGTGGACTTTGGAGTCCACAATTATGACCTGAACACAGAATTTTTACAGAGAGAAAGTGGAAAGTGGCTGCTTTTAAGAAGATCGGTTAATATTCAGGGGGTCAAATTGGTGAGAAAAATTACAAAATTTGGATTCTATGGCGTATATTTTTACTCCTGACGGACATAGAGCTGAGAAGTTGATAGTATATTCAATAAGAGTAGTTGACCTTTAAATTGATACCAATTACGTTGGTGTATGTCCTCGGAGGCGAGAGTTATACGTCAATTTTTCAAGGTTCTATATATTGTTGGTGGCTAGGAAATTCTGCATGAGGTTCAGATTATAGTTAAGGTCGACGCCTTTAATTTTTGCGATGATGATCTGATGATATATCGATTATGAAATAGAGCGAAAACTGTATGTTTTCTAGTCGCTCTAGACGCCACAATTATAAGCCGAATACCACAAATTTTCCATGGGGAAAGCGACTATTTCGAATGGCTGTCATGATAATGAAAGTCAATAGTTAACAGCTCAAATGATGCCACAGAAGAGCTGTTGAGATCTAAGCGGCCAAGAGACACTGAGCGGTTAGTGGTAGTTGTGTAGGGTATCATATTATAATAATTGGAGTCCGGTTCAATAAATTATGGACGAAAAGGACCCTCAAGGAAACGAGTTAGAGGGATGAAATATTCTACAAAAAAATCCTCATTCAATTTTAGTAGCGATAGGAATTGATACTGATTTGATACGATTTGTGATGAATAGATGTAGAACGGTATACATTTTTCATTTTCGGGTTTTTCCAAAGTTTCTAAAAATTCTTTTAATTTTTGACACATATTTACAATATTAAATATTTCTTATTAAAATGAATTTCTTACTAAATTTGAATTTTCGGGAAAGGGATTAAAATGGCGATACACAAGGGAATGTCAAGTAACCACAAAAAACTGGAGGAAATTAAAACGAAAAAATCAAAATAATAAAAAACTGAAGGAAAACTAGAAATGTAGTTCAAAACGTATGTAAACAATTCAAAACCAACTGGTGAAATAATAAAAAAGAATAACAAAATTAACTAAAACGTAATTTGGAAGTGGAATTGGATTGATGGAAAATATACAACAACAAAAAAAAAAACGGCGGCGGGTGGTGAAAATAACAACAACAAGAACTAAAAAAGCTTGAAATTACAGTATGGATGAGGAGCATAATTGGTCAAGAAGCATTTATTGAAGCATTTTAACATTTAGTTTACCTGAGACGGTGGTGTGGTCAAGGGTACGCCGTGTTCAATATTTTTCAAATAATCCTTGTCATCGAAAATTTTCTTATCGCCGCCACCTGGCTTGTGCTTGACATTATCCAAAGAACCGATTTTGCTTTGTGCCTTTATTTCGATTTTTTGTGTTTGTATCTAAAATTCGGGGATGTAGGAGAAGAAGGCAACACAGGGGACGATTGCATTTCCACCAACGAAAAAAAGGGCAAAAGAGCAATAGGGAAGAAGAAGAAAATAATTTTAAGAATATATTAAACATTTATTGAAATGGGATTTTCATTTCTCTGTTTAAATCAAAAAAATGACACTGACAATTGTTATTTCAATAAAACCAATTTTGTGGAGTTGTCTAAATACATATACAAGTCGTAATAAAAATTAATATTTGAAAAAAAATTATATGAGTTAAAATTTAGTGTAATAAATATTAAAATAGAAAAAAAAAACAAAATTCTAGAAAAAGATCAAAACGCTCTTTAACAAATTTACAGCCTTTGTGCCTTATGTGTTAAAATGAGAATTTATTTTGAGACGAGTTTTTTTGGGGGCAGGGCTAAGCAACATAGGATTTTATGGTTGAGGTGTTTTTTTTGTAAAGTACAAAAGTTGCATTTGTTTTGAAAAGAGATGATAAATAAAAAAGTAAAAAAAAAATAATTTCTAAAAAGATCACTAATAAAAAATGACAAAATTTACCAAATATTTTTTTTTAGTTTCGAATAAAAAGAAACAATATGTGTTAATGTGTGAGTGTCTACTAAACTACTTACATCCTTAGGTTGATCATTGGATTCCTGAATTTGTTATTTTTATTTTTTTTTTGTAATGGTAGTGTGAGTTATGTTGTTGTTTTTTTATAAACAATCATCAAAATTTGTTATTGTTTAACATTGATTGTGGTAGTTGTTGTTGGTTTTTTTATTTTGTTTTTTTGGTTAGGTTAGAAAGAAACAAGAAGAGTAAATTAAACATAAAAATCATTCAGAGGCAAAGTAAAGAAGTTTCAATCAACTAAAGATAAACATTTTACAAAGTACATCGATATAATTTTATAATTTAGAATTATGTATTTATATATGATGATACATGTTTTTTGAGACGATAATGTGTTTATATAAACTTATGATAATAAATAATGATATAACTTATTTTATATTATTATACTATTCGAACGCCATAAATTGAATTTGTTCTGAAAATACGTTGGAATCTGTTTTGACACGCTTAGGGCCTTGGAAAAAGTAACAATATAGGGGAAGAAGTGACTCGCTTCGACAACATTCCAACTGAAAAAAATATTTTTTAAACAACTCTACGCTTTTAAAAATATAGTTTGCTGAGGTCTACAGAATGAAACACAGATTTTTTATTCGCTTATACCTAATAGATATACCATCTTTGGATTTGATGTAGGTTTGGAAAATATTTCGATTTGCAATGTTTGGATCAAATCAGACACTCCAATATATGATATTGGATTATCAATTTTTTTTACCTCCCCCACACTTTGTGGGGAAGGTACCAGAAGGAATGGACCAAAGGGTCCCATATTCGAGCCTGATCTATGTATTTAGGTAAATATATTACCATGTGCAAAGTTTGGATGAAATTGGATACTCCCTTTGCTCCATATGAGATTTATAAGATTTAAAAATTTTAACTCCTTGTGGGGGAGGTACTGGAAGGTGTAGACCGATAAGTCCCATTCATCAACAATATGGACGGATGGTCTGTTTATATGATATTATAAAATGCATTTTCAGCACAATTTTGACCATATTTTGGGGTAGGTACCGCAGGGAATGGACCGATTTTCCTAACATTTGAATTTTATTTGAGTTTGAAAGAAATATTAAAATCTGCACAGTTTGGATCAAATTGGACATTCTATTAGCCTAGTACTGGATTTAAAAATATTGAAAATGTTGACACATTGTGGGGGAGGTACCTGAAGGAGTTGACCAATAGGTCACATCTTCGGATTTGATCTAGGCTATGTGAAGATAATAGGTTGTGCAAAGTTTGGTTCTAATCGAGTAGTTCGTTATCATGCTATTCTAAAAAAAATGTTCAGCTAAATTTTTACCTCTATCTTCAAACATAAACTTAGTTTGGAAGAAGTATTACGATATGCAAAGTTTGGATGAAATTGGTTATAGACGGACATTTGTAAATCAACTCCAAACATGGGGTCTGAAACCAATATTTCGATTAGGCACATTTATGCCGTATCGAAAAGCCTCATTAGCCATAAGCTTGTTAACAATGCTGAGGGTATAAAAAGTAATCCGGTGGTCCTTACGCTTTTTTAGACATGTAATCGAAACTGGTCCCCAAAAATATATGTTACAAAATTCACTATAGTAAATCATAGTGAGTGCTTAAAATTTATTTTTTAATTCGAAGCCATCTCCTCATCATCGTATCCGTTTATAGACCACCCGATTTCTTTACCTTTGAACGCCTTTCTTGAACCATATTATAGATATCTGGTAATATTTCAGTGACTTAACCAAATTACCGCTTCAGAGAGTGCTCAATCCCTCAAAACATCACAAAAATTTCCGAGATATCAGCACTGATGCAGCCGCTCGCCGGGGGGGACGAATACTCGAAGCAAAACCAAGCGGAAAATGGATGGACCAAATTGTGGGCAACGGTTTAGTCACTCTCGAATCCGGTGGGAGATCCGAACAGATGCAAGAGTTTTTTTAACCGGCAGTTCATAGAACAGCCCAAGTGAGTGTCTGATGAGAAAGGCATACGAATAAGGGATACATACTGATAGCGATGCTAATTTACACTACATTGCGTGGGGTAGTACTAATACTACCAAATGGTCAGGAACTTCTAGATTATACACAGAAAAAATAATTCATATATTATATGAATATTGTTCAGAAAGTGTGAAAGTGGAAGCTATGGCTGCATCCGCACCAATTTCAACAATACATAATAACGTCATTCAGATCTCAAATTGATACTTTGTGCAAAATTCCGTGTTATTCGGACAAACATTTGGAGTTTGGTGCACCATTTATGTAATATCGCACGAATATATATGTATATATGGTAGCTATATCAAAATCTGAACCGATTTTCCCGCAACTTGCCACTCATCATACTAGACTCAATTCAGTATCCTATGTCAAATTTCGTGCAAATCGAAGGATATACAGGGACTTTGTTGCACTATTTACCTATAATCGGACGAAAATATATATGGGAGCTATATCTAAATCTGAACCGATTTTCACGAAACACATCAATCAAGATATAATTAAGTACGCTATTCCAAATTTCGTGCAAATCGAAAGATGTACATGTGCACCATTTACCTTAAATCGGACGAAAATATATATGGGAGCTATATCTAAATCTGAACCAATTTTTCCCAATTTCAATAGGGTTCGTCCTTGGGTCAAATAAATGAGCTGTGCCAAATTTCATCCAATTCGGATAATAAATGCGACCTGTACTTTGTTTACAATTTAACATCAACAGACGGACGGACGGACATGTATAAATCGAATCAGAAAGTGATTCTTTGCTTATTCTCAAAAGGAACCATGGGTCTATCTCATTTCCTTTTACCTGTTACAGACATATGCACAAAGACATAATACCCTGTACCACAGTGTGGTGAAGGGTATAACAAGATACTTTGTGACGTCGTCATTTCACCATTGGACACTGCCGGTGATTAATGCAAATGGAGAAACCTGCGAAATACATTACATTATTGAATTCAAGGCAGATTTAGTAAGGTAACATCATCAGTCCAGCTGTTGGTACAAAAAATTTCAAGAATGCTGTTTATTTAAAACCAAAAAATACAAAAATATATAATTGAAAATCTCCAAATTTTGAAGAACTTGTTCGACAATGCATTTATCAACATCTTCTGAATTAATTTGTGTGTTTTTGCTATATATTTTGACATATCATTGTACTACAACAGTTGTTTGTTGTAGAAAAGTCACAGCTAGGAATCTAGATAAGATTTGGGTCTTCCCAGACAGAATGAAGCGATGCCTGAGTAAAGTGACACTACGCTGTTTATGGTAAAAATAATATTTTTATTTATGACAAGGGATATTAGTACTAACATAACGCAAAAAATTTATAATTGAGAACACAATTTTAAAATCCTACATAACGATACTGCCTAATATTTCGAATGTCCTGATAGAATAGCCAAACAAATTAGCTGTAATATAGCATTTCCTGTTAATGTCATGTTCTGACGGGCATTTAATCAACGTAGTTCGTTCTCAGAAATACGTACATTACGGAATTAACCCATTCATACAACACTATTCTTAACCCTTTATGGTCCAATATTGCCCACAGGCAACAAAATGTTTTAGAACTTATATTAATTATACAGCTAGTAGATATACATTCTTTGGATTTCCTATGTCAAGACCTGGTTATAAACGATCCATATCACAAGAAAAAATCTAAAAAAAAATGTGTACTAATACAGTACTAATTTGTGTATACAGTCAAAATTATTTAAATCACTTCGTATTCGAAATGTACGAATTCTGCCATCAGAATTATTTTTGATTCTTGTAAAACGGAATATAAAGAATAATTTAAAATGATTGAAAATTTTGTAAATATTTTCATGTTGTCAAAATTAATTTATTTTCGATAAATACTCTCAATTTTTAGGGATGGGACAAATTTCTTGGTTATTCAGAGAGTGATTCGAATTGAACAATGTACAAAAGTCGGTGTTTGCTCAGAAAATTGTGTATGGGGAACTAAGTAATTACTTCATAATTAATAATAATAATAGAGTAGTAATGCTAAATGGCGTTCGAATAATTTATAATGCTTAACAATACATTTTTTAATTTTATTTGGAATTGGCGTTATAATAAATTTGATTGCTAACATTTGATAATTTTTGTTTATGTCCCTCAATATTATAGAATATTTCCCTTATCTCATAATAAATGCTATAAAATGTAATGTATTTCTATGAATTTAATATGAAACGATCGCCAATTCAATACGATGTACATTAATGATATAAAAAAAAACAAACATATTATTGTAATTCATAAAAGATGTTATATACTTCTTAATAATTTAAATTAATAAACATAAACTTTAATAAATGACATGCATTTTTTCTAACAACATGCTTAAAACACATGCGTGTATATAACATTATAATTTTTAAATTATTTTTGTATTGTTTTAATATTTTTTCATTCCGTTTTATTTTAATTTTTAACATGCCTTTAATTTATTCAAAACATGCTTAATGACAAGTTTTTGTTTTAATATATTTTTTTATCGATTTTTAATTTTATTTTCTATTTTAAACATAAATGCTTAGATGATAGATATATGTCTTATGACTGTATTTCTAGCCATCTAACACGGATGTTCAGAACTCACCTTTATGTCACCGCCACCGGCTACATGCTTAACATTATCCTTGGAACCAACTTTTGGCTTGGCCTTCTCCTTGAAATCAGGTTTAATTGTTTCGATTTTCTTATCACCGCCACCGGGCTTGTGATTGGCATTTTCTAGTGAACCAATTTTCGATTTGGCATTCCATTGTAATTTTGTTGAAATTATCTGTTGGGATCATGGATGGTGCGAATTTGTGTTGGAGTGTTTTTTTTTTAATAAAAAATATAAAAATATGAATTGTAATTAAGGCTTTAGTTTAATTACTATAATTAATAATAGTTGCTGAGAAGTATCAAGGCATGGTAAACCGAAGAATATAACTTATGTACATAGAAGACAACGTGAAGAAGGGTCTTCTATACATAGAATATCACTTAAGGCTATCCTATATATAGATTACCACTTGGAAGATTCTTCTATACACATAAGTCCACTTGAAGGATCTTCTATATGTAGAAGATTTCATAGAAAGAATGCCACATGAAGGGTGTTCTATATAAAATTTAGGGTACATAAACATAAGACTTCTTTTTGGAAAAACCTGTATATCTCAATTAAGCTTTTTGCCTTTTTCCTTACAAATTAATTTTTAACTCTCAATTACAATATCGAATAATTTAGTTTTTATGATTAATCTTAATGGCATCATCATCCATTTGATCAGTCCCCTCCTTAATAACTCAAATTATTTTAAAGAAGAGAACAATCTTTTTTTTTTTAATTTCTATTAACAACAGTTCGTGATATATCCAATAATACAAAGAAAACTTGAAAAAAATACAACCAAAAAAGAGAGGAAGCTACAAAAATTTATTGTCTCAAATTCTAATCAACCGTGAAATTGAAAATCACAAAATCATCAAAAACTACGAATTGGTTTTACGTTATATTCAAAAAAAAAAAAAAAAAAAAAAAAATAAATAAATAAATAAAAAAAGGCGGTGCTATCTTGACGCTGTTCGCAATTAAGAACAAAAATAAATACAGGGTCAGTAAAAGCTCAATACTCTGCAACAATGTTTCATACAATGTGATACTACAAAAAAACTTTTTTCTTTTGCATGGCAAATGTTTTCAATTGACATCAGGCATTTCCAATTACGGTTTAGAGGAACAAAAAATATTGTTTATTATCTTGAGATAATTTTATTTTTATCTCAAAGACAATAATCAAATATTCTTTCCTCTAAATATTGGAAATGAGTGTTTTAATAAGAAATATTAAACGTTTTTGTTTTTAGTTTGGTCATATTACCTTCTTTTCACCACCCCTTGGCGTGTATTTATCATTTTTAGCTTCAATTTTGGGTGCTGCCTTAATTTCAATTTTCTTCGTTTCGATTTTAACATTGCCGCCACCTGGTTTGTAGCTGGCATTTTCTAGAGATCCAATTTTGGAGCGTACGGCCTTCAAGTTAGGTGAAGGAGCGTGTCCAACTTGAATTTTATTCATTGGAACTGCAAAAGAAAAAAAAATGGAAAAAATGGGAATTAATATTTTTAATCTATATAGAATAAATAGGCATAATAACATTCGGACGGGTCCGACTATATGATACTCTTCACCACTATGGGTATATTAATCAGATGCATACTAATAGACGTCGCATTTTTAAAGGACTATTAACATGAAATTGGATGATATAAAATAAGAGACCTTTATCTAATTGTGAACCGACGTGGATCAATCCATAAACATGGACAAAATTATATAAATCGATTTAAAGCAAATATCTATCGTACACCCGTTGAATATTTGGAACCTTTGGTGCACCATTTACATAAAATCGGACGAATATATATGGGAGCTATATATAAATCTCAACCCATTTTTTCAAAGATTAATTCAGTACGCTGTGCCAAATTTCGTGTAAATCGAAAGTTATATAGGGTCTTTGGTGCACCATTTACCTTAAATCGGACGATAATATATATGGGAACTATATCTAAATCTGAACCGATTTTCACGAAACTTAGCACACATCATTCAAAGCTTAATTCAGTACGCAGTGCCAAATTTCTAATATATATATATATATATATATATGGGAGCTATATCTAAATCTGAACCGATTTTCCCAATTTCAATAGGTTTCGTCCTGGAACCAAATAAATGAACTGTGCCAAATTTCACCCAATTCGAATCATAAATGCGACCTGTACATTGTTTACAATTTAACATGGACAGACAGACAGACGTACGGACATGCATAAATCGACTTAGAAAGTGATTCTATGCAAATTCTCAAAAGGAACCATGTGTCTATCTCGTTTCCTCTTGCCTGTTACAAACATATGCAAAAAGACATAATACCCTGTACCACGGTGTGGTGAAGGGTACGGAAACACTCCATTATCTATGGAATACCATACCTCGAAAAGTTTTCGATCTATTAAATCGGGCGTGTTTCATTAGCAAAATAAACAAGTGAAAAAGGTTTTAAATACTGCTGGCCGAATTTCTTGCTCGGTATACCACCACAAATGTACTGTCAGTTACTTGAAATTAAGTCGTCAACCTACATAGCACTACACTATAAATAATAATTTTGGAAAGGGTAGCTAAAACTTGCTAGATAATGAAAAACGGCGGGGTCATTTTGCCATGGATTCCAAGATATCCACTGGACACCAGAAATCTTAAATTGTAGCTACTTTTAAAGGCAATTTGTTTTAAAATTTCCACCATACTGGAATTTATACAATAAAAATGTCTGGGGGCAACCTTGAAACGTAGACGGATATTTCGAATTTTGCTAAGGATATTTGCTACCTAATGTAGCAATTCAATTTAATAGTTAAAAACTTGGTGGCTTTAACTGCATGTATATCGATATTACAAAAATATTTCCAAAATATGGGGTACCTGTACTGATAATATTGGCAGGGAGATTGATACCGAATGAGATACCAAAATATCCAATTCGGTTAAAAAACATTTCCAAAATCGTACTCAACAATTTTGGGATATCGCTATATGGATGGTACCCATATATGTAGACCTATATAATACTGCCTGCAGACTCTATGTACAATTTCAGATACCATAAAAAGATAGCTTCATTATCCTGTATTGTCTTTTATTTCGTATTTTTTATACGCAAAGTAGGCAACACATCTTGCTACCGAAAATGATCAATACTGGTTCTTTTTTTAGAATAGCCCTCATATAACCGTACCTCCCAAAATTCGAGCTCCGCCGGAATTCGTCATCGAAACAGGCGTAACCTTTCACCATAAAGTAGAGTGAATACTAAATTTATCATTCCGTTTGTAACACCTCGAAATATTCTTCGGAGACCTTGATAATATTCTTCGCAGACCTTGATAATATTCTTCGGAGACCTTCGGGGAAGCCTACCCACCATTATATGGTTTTTTTGGAATTGACTATAATTATAACCTACATCAATGTTATGAGGGTATATTTGTGTGGCCCCAACAGTTTGTAAAGCAAAATATTGGTCCTAGTCCCAACTTTTAGTATACCGATCGTGATATTTCGAATAGCTGCGTCGATCTAGACATGTGTGTCCGTCCGCCCGTCTGTCCATTATAATGTCAGTGGTCGTTCTAGAGGACAGAATTATGACCCGAACATTTAAGCAGAGGAAGGAATCTCACCATAAGTATGACTGTTTTGATGAAGATCGGTCTATATTTAGAGGGTCAAATGGACCAAAACTTTTGATGAAAAATGGTAAATTTTGCATTCTATTGCGCATTTAATTACTCCTTAAGGACATAGACCCGAGAAGTTGGTAGTATTATTTGGTAATATATCCAAGAGAAGTGTTTCACTATTAAATTGATACTAAGTATGTTGTTGTATGTACTCGGATGTGGTAGTTAAACGTAAATATTTACAGGGGTCTACATATTGTGATATTATTTAGTATTAAAATTACCACACTAGAGGGAGGAAATGTCGCGTTGACGGTAAAGATCAGCCCAACCAAGATATTTCTATGTAAAAAGCACGCTATTTCGTAAATATTCAAAACGGGAAAACACGGTTCCTTAGTACTTGTATAGGTATAATATGTAGGGTATATTTTTGAATCTGGGATGTAAAATTTCTTCAATAAAAATATTAATACCGGTCCGAGATTTGGTATAGCTACCATATTTTTGGTATTTTGAACATTACATCCAAATTTTCCCACCAAAGCAATGTGAAATGGCACATTGCGGTGTAAGGGGACCTCCCCCATTCTCGATTTTAATTTTTCAAGATTTTCTTTGGGCTGATAAATGAATACGAATGCAGGTTAAGATTTGTTACTTTACACATATATAATTGAAGGTTTAAAAGAGAAGAAGAATAATTTGCAAAATTTGGTTTTTGTTGTTTTTGGTAATTAAAGATAATGATAACTCCTCGCTGGAACAGCGGAACCCGGAAATTCTTATGAACTAGTTTATTGACTTTGCTCAAAAATTAACAAAATGGCTGACCTTTGCATTTTTTTCGGAAATTCGCCTATTTTTGGCCACAAGTTAAAAATAAGGAAGTTCTTCACCGATTGGTTTTATCCTAGTTCATACGATAGCTATACACTCCCAGAGAAACGCGTCAATTTGGAACCGATTAGATTATTAGTTTTTGAGTCATCGTGCCCGCCATTCGTAAAAACACTGTTTCGAGAAAAATGCGATTAAAATCTGGGAAGCACTCTTTCCGTCACTTGATACTGACACGGCTATATATTCAAGAGTTGTTGAGATTTTCACTTGTAGGGACATTCTTCAATTAGTGTAGATTCGAAAAATTAAATAAATTTTTTTAGCACCAGGGATGGGGGTCCTCTTAAGTAAAGGTTTGCACATATCCTCCATATAGAAGTACCGCCCCATTTTCGGTATTTTGAATGTTTTAGCCGCTTTCTCAGTGCTCTTTTTTACATAGGACTAAGCTGTAGAAAACAACCGATATCTCAGTTAGTGATGTACAGTGAATCTCTGTACATCACTAGCTTCGATTCATAGGTATCGAATATCAAAATAAATAACTGTCGCAAAGTTTGAAATCTCTAGCTAATAAACTTACTTAGATGCACGGTTTTTTGTATTTTTACTGATGTTTTGGTAATATTTCCTTTCCATTTAGAAGGTATTTCGTGTATAAAACTTTTCAAAATTTAAGTTTATTTTTTTTAATTTTAATTTTATTTATTAGTGGGGAATGTATGGCATTGTCTGCCATGGGGTAAGGCAGGAAGACAACAAACTGGGATTAAGCCTGACTACTTTGCAAAAACAAAATACAAGTGGTATCCCAAATAACCCGCCGAAAGGTTTTTTGTAAAGAAGATATTAATAGCTTCTGGGGAAGCTATCAGTGGCGAGATCCGAAACTATAGTCTTCCCTGCCTTACCCTTCGGCAAACAATGTCATACATTCCCCACTAATAAATAGCTGTTTTTTAAAAAATTACAAAAACAAAATACAAATGGTATCCCAAATATCCCGCCAACACTACCAAAATTGTAAACCTTTTTTATCTAATACTAATTTATTATATGTTTTTGGTAATAGTTTGTATAATTAAGTATCAAAGAACAATAATCAGCCATAAACATTTTATATCTGTTGAATAAGTACTGAGATATAGAACTCTAAAAAAAATACCGAATGGTCCCCAGCCTCCCCTACATACAAAAAGTAATTATGGGTCTATCCAGCTTTCATTGATTTTTCATGCAGACTAACATTCGTCAAAGACTGCTGTTCGAACCGCCCGTTGCAGTTTGTGGTGCTATTCAGGGAAAAATATCTTTAGATCTCTGATTTTATTTTCATGTGGTTTTCAGTAATTTGATGATTTTAGACACATTTCTAGAAAATTGTCAATATAGGATAATATATTGACATGTAACCCAGTCAAGGTTCCCTTATACTTTCGATATTTCAAATAGTCCTCAAATATTCTAGCGGCAATATTATTTTAAGTTTCACAAATTTGGCACTTTGACCTTCCCAAAGCATATGAACATTCGAGTATGCCCAAAGTTTTAAGTTCTACCCAATTTTTTCAACCAAAGAGTATGTAATATTGATAACAGATTACATGGATGAATAGCCGCTTTTATCGAAACAAAGTGAGAATAAAATATTTTTTTTGTTGGTTCTGGTCCTAGTTCTTTCACAGATAATTTGACTCTCGGATTGATTTTAATTTACCATTTTTATACCCTCAGTATTATGGCTAATGAGGGTAATTCCGTCTGTCTCTCCGGCTGGTGCGCACAATAACTCTCGAAAGGAGTATCCGATTTCATCCAAACTTTGCTTATCATAATATTTCTACCAAACTTAGTTCAAGTTCGAATATCTGGTACCTCCCCCACAAAATGGTCAAAATTGAGCTAAAAATGATCCGATTTGAACCAAAATTTGCACAACCCTAGATCAAGTCCGAATATGGAACCCTTTGGTTCACTCCTTCTGGTACCTCCCCCACAACATATTATCATTAACAAACCTAGATCAAGATCGAAGATTGGGCCCATTTGTCCACTACTTCTGGTACGTCCAACAATATTGGTTTACTTTCAGCATTTGGGGACATTGTTTAACATAATTTTAAATGGTTTGGTCTTCGTTGGTTACGAAGTTCCAAGTAGCGGAAAAACATCCCATTCCTCTGCGATATTGCATGTGAAAAGAATTCGATGTATACATACTAAGCTACAGAAATACCAACCCAATCTAGTAAGGGTCTCAGTGAGGTCCGAAGGAAAAACTGATTCACCAGAGGATGTACAGATGTAGAAGGTTTATGTGAAATTTCCAATATGGAATTTTTGATATAAAACGATTTATTCTTGAATATCGTGAGATAATCAAACTAAATCTATACAAAAGTGCTCTTGCCAAGTTTTACAATACCAATCACTTTATTGGCAATTTTTTATTTCCAAATCAAAAATAGTTATTTGCCTTAAGATATTCTGCTCTAATTGGGAATTGTTTTTATCAAATTTGTTGATTGACCTTGAAAAAAATATATTATATAGATACTACAACAGTATTATTAATAATTCAAAATTTCTCGAAGGTTGCGATGTTTTGTATACAAATTTTCCCAAAAAAAGCCCCAAAGATATTTAAAAAAATCTTCTTCTTACCTTTTTTAACTGGTTCCGGTTCTGGGGTCTTCAATGCAATGCGATTTCGTGAAGTACTGCGAGATTTGGATGATTTATTGGATGGTGTAGTGCTGGGTGGGCGTGATGTGGCCGACTTCTCGGGCTTAGAAGATACCGAAGTTGGAGTTTTGGCTGGGGAACTGGGGGTTCCAGGGCCGTTGCGTTCCTATAAAAACAATCGATAAGAAATAAATTCGATTAGCCACTATCAATTTCAAATCAATAATAATCAATATAAAGGAGTATTACTAGAAGTAAATTTGTATCAGCTGTAATAATTAATTGCATGATGATTCTATGGCACGCTATTTTTCCGTTTTTACTCGTATTTTCCACTAATTATATAATTTCTTGTTTTTTCTCTTGTGTTAATAAATCCGAAATCTATGTTGAAGAATTTAATTACTGCGATGCGTTTCGTTTGTCGTTTCCTTTGCAATTAAGTTGTGCCCGAAAAATATATCACTTCGTTCGCCTTCGACATTTTGTTTTTTTGCAAAAGTTCTACTTCAGAAGAATTATATTGCTTGATAAGTTTGTTGGTGGTGCTGTTGTTGTTTATGAATTTGTTTACAAAGGAAAATTATTCTTAATTTTTTGTTGTTTTGTTTTTGTTATTAGTATAATATACAAATTCATGTCTGTTGTTGTTGTAGTAATTTTCATATTGTTTTATCGATGGCATTACGGATGGCATGCATGATGGTCCTCCCAACAACGGAGCCTTTGTGTTGTTGGTACTGTTCAAGTCAAAATGATAAGTTGTCTCCCTCACCCCATATAATTTCACTTTTCGCCATCGACATAAACATAAATGTAAATATACATATATATGTATGTAGGTAGGTATTTACTATCTATATAATACACATGTATATTTATAATTTTGTTTATTTTTTCTTTCTTTTTTTTGAGGTAACAAAAAAATAACTTCTAAATGATAAATTACCTTTATCTACCCGAAAAAAAGAGTAGAAAAAACATACTCGCGAAGAAACCCATAAAAAAGTTTCGAATGATAAAGAATTGAATGGAATTTCAACGATTTCTTCTTTCCGATATGACAGCGCAAGGATACGTTTTTGGTCGTTTGTTTATTGTTCGTATTGCTACACACATATATGTATGTGAGTATTTTGAGTGGGTTAAATGTAGCAGGAAACACACACGAAAAAATATATTTGTTAAATCGTAAATGTCGGGTTCGAAGTATACCTATAAGTCTTCGAATATCATTACGTTTAGGGAAGAAATAGTTTTTCATTAAGAAAAATATTTATTCAAAGGACAATTCAAAATTGGACGAAACCTTAACATAAAAGTGTGCTACTACATACAATTCGAATCGATGTATTTCTTCCTCTCCGATTGAAAACCCCGAAAACATTGCATTTGATCGATTTAACAGCATCCTCTGGTGATGAAAGCCAATGATCACACATTTGTTATATCCTCCACAATAAAATTTGTCCTCTCGTTTGCAACACTTCCAAATCTCGTGGATGTCCCTATTATTTGGATCTGAATAAAATTCTTTGTCGATTTATCCAAGTTCCTCTGCCTGTTAAAATCCCGATAGAGAACCCTATATTTAACAAAAATCCTCGGATGTATAGTGTTACATCGGGTTATTTCGGTCCAAGTTTTGGTCTAGTCCCCATGTTTTGACGGTTTTAGCCACATTTTTCAACAGTATGAGCTACATTTTGACATTCTGGGTTTTGTGAAGGCTGACATACAGTAGCGGGCCATAAAAATGCAACGCTTTGGTCATATGATATGTAATTACATTTGTTTTACAATAACGGCAACTAATATATGTATTTTCTTTTGCTGTTTATTATTTCAATTATAAGTTTTCAAACTAACCATAGTTCTTTCCAAATTCGGTTTACAAAAGTTAAGTGATTTTTTATAAAGGTAAAAATAAGTTTAAAATTACCACACATTAACATAATTTCACTCCCCGTTGAATTTTTATGACTAGCCACTGTATATCTATGAAGATAATGCTTTATAAAGGTACATATTTTTACGTAGCCCTCACATAAAGCTCCCGCCATATTTCCGACATTTTGAAGGTTTTTGCCGAATTTTCCCACCAAACTGGCTGTAGTTTGGCCAATTTTTTTAATATACGTCCATGTTTTGGCATAGTCCCCATATAAAGTACCCAACCTATTTGCAGTATTTTGAAGGTTTTAGTCACAATTTCCCACCAAAGTGCCTGTAATTTGAGATCATAGAGGGTATATTTTCAATGTAAGATCATATATCCCTCACATAAAGGTCCCACCCAATTTACGTTCTTTTAAAGGTTTTAGCCGCATTTTTCCACAGAAATAGCTACAATTCTGCACTACGGATTACCTAGTGACAACTTAGCTCGTTCCCATGTTTTTACATATCACCTATACAAACACCCCACATATTTTTAGAACGTTTAAGTTTCTTGTTCAATTTACAAAGGCATAGCCCCATACAAAGTTCCCGACCGATTTAGGGAAATTTGAATGCGTTTTATTGGTGTGCGGGGAAAAAATAAGTCAATGGATTTCAAGGACTTTACGGAGGATGGACAACCAATTCCGGGTTTTGACCGGTCAAAACAAAGCTGGCCTGAGCCGATGTGTGAGATCTCGCATTGTCGTAATCCGTCTTGTCTGGTACTTTTTTGAATTAGCCGAAGAACTTAGGCAAAGAATATTTGGTTGCTTAAGCGGACCAACACCTGGTTTCTTTCTCGAACTTCTTTAGATTGGATTAGAAACGTCTTCGAAAACTCTCAAGAGCTAGTTATTTTACGAAGTTCCCAACCGATTAAAGGAAATTAATGAAATGCTGCACAATAGGTCCGTTTTGCACATTTTTTAATTTATCCACAGATTTCTGTCCAAAAAATATTGATACACCACTGAGAATTACCGTCCTACGTTCCTCAAGTGTATCAGTAGCCATATGACCAGTTTTTATTAAGAAAAAGATAACAATTTGCTCCAAAGTATTTCTTTCGCAAATAATCCCAACAAAAAACTAAGGTAACTGATGAGGATCACTGGCGAGATCCGAAACTATAGTCTTTCCTGCCTTACCCGTCGGCGGACAATGTCATACATTCCCCACTAATAAATAGTTGTTTTTTATAAAAACAACAAACTGGGATTCAGCCTGACTATTTTGCAAACACAAAACGCAAATAACTTCAGTTCATCGACTGCAAGAAAACTTATCTCACCATCAGATTAAGGTAAGATAGATTGGAAACATATAAGGAACATGTAAAAAAGTGTCAGTCGGCTTTCGAATGGTTACGGAATAAAACGCAGGTTTTATTATTATAAACTTATATTAGGTATATGTTTATATGAAAGAGTTGAGGTTCCAGAAGATTTTAGGGAAGGTACTAGCAGAGGTTACCCTATAAACAGCAACTTAGTATTTAATGTAAGTTTGGAAAAATATTACAATTTATAAATTTCAGATCAAATTATATATTCCATTATCTTGATATTGCATTAAAACAGGTACGAGAAGGTGTGGACCAACTGGCCCAATCTTCAAGCTTGCTCAATGAAAGGTAAATACATTACCATATGCAAAGTGTGGATATTTCGTTCGCTCCATATGAGACTACAAGTTTTCAAAATGTTGACCATTTGTGGTGGAGGTACTAGAAGGATTAAACCGAAAAATCCTATCTTCCAACATTATACAGGCACGATTAAAATATTAGGTTGAGAAAAGTTTGAACTATACTCGGATAAAATGAATTTTCAAAAAAACTTCAAATATTATGTGTGGGAGGTACCAGAAGGAGTGGAACAATGAATCCCATTTTCCAACTTATATTATGTTTAAAAGAAATATTACGATGTGCATATTCGTCATCAAACCGGGTATTCCATACCATTGTTATTGGATTTACAAATTTTCAAAATTTTGACAATGGGTCCCATTTTCGTACTTCAAATCGCATAGTCCGTTCGCATGATATCATAAAAACAATTTTTACCAGTTCCGATATTCCCCATTTTCGAACTTAAAGTAAGTTTGGAAGAAATATTACGATGTGGAATCGATTACTCCCTTCGCCGGACATTTGTAAATCGGATTAGGTCCAAAGAAACAAGGGGTCTTAATCTATATTTCGATGAGGCACATTTTTGCCGTAGCAAAGTGTATATTTCCTCATTCCTCATATATTTTAGTAAAACATTTTGATATAAAGTTCCAAATGTTGACATTGCCCCCATTACACCACACTAAGGTATGGGGTATTAAGGTTTTCAGCATTTGTATGCAGCATCCACACTATGAGCCAGGAATCCAATTTTTTCGCAAAAAGTCCATTTAAGGTAGAGGGGACAAAATGTTATATATTTCAAATCTGGGGACTTTGAACTTTACGCCAGTAAAATTTTAGAAATGACATGAGGTCAAAGTCAAAATTTCATATTTTTGTGAATATAATTTGTATTTGAATAATGTTATATGGCATTGACATGTCAAAATATTAACATGAAATGACGGTCAATTAAACAGATGGACCAGGTGGTTAGAATAGGAAATTATTAGTAAATTGATGATAATCATCAACAATTTCGTATATATAGCTCAACAAATTATATTCTGACCGAAAGACTATCAATATTGACCCAAGTATTGAGGTATACCCAATATAAGAAGACCCTGCATTATTCGGTATTTTGGAGATCTTGAACACGTTTTTGAACCAAATCGACTACATTTCAAATTTAATTAAGGTATGTCATAGTTTTATGTCCATAATACATAAATAAATTAAATATTTAATTTTTTCTTATGTTCCATCCATTTTGCATTCATTTTATTTAATTTTACAAATCTGATTTCGCATTTGTAATGTAATGTCCATTACCCTAAATAAACGTGTTCAAACACTATTTGATTAATTCAATAAAAAAAACTCATTAACCGCCATTTTCGATGCTCCCTATTGATCTTGTACATTTTTTCTAGCAGAATCGTAATCAGCGTCGCAGAAAAATATATGTTGATATTTATTTATTTCATAAATCCACTGCCCTAAATATGGGCAATACATGGGATAACTGGCCCATAGAGCAACGTGTTCCGTTCCGACATTGGTCCTTTTCTTACTGGATATTCAATATAAAACACAATATA